GGCCCCGTCCCGGAGGCGTCCCGGGACGGGCCCCCTCTTGGGTTCCGCCCTCGGCGGAACAGCCGGCCCGCCCGCTCAGAGCGCTGTGCCTTCCCTCCGCTATTTCCTCTAAGTTGCCAGGGCAGGACTCCCCGGCTCCACTTTACAGGTGGGGAAACTGAGGTCGCGAGAGGCGACTTGAGCAAGCGTCTACAAAGCGTCTGCTGCCCTGCCCTTTCCCGGTCTTCCCACGACCTGCCTTCTGCAGAAGGGGTTCGTTTATGAGCCGCCCTCCGTCCCCCTAAAGGCCCTCTAGTTTTCTGAGAGTCCAAGAGAAGCCCCACCACACCTCGGGCCAGTGTGCTCGCAGCCCACTCAAGCGCCCCAAAGCCCCCGGGTGTGTCCTCTCGGATCTCCTCGTCCGCGCCCGTGGGTGCCCGCTCTGGCCGGGGCGCTCTGCCAGACTCCGCGGCCCGGAAGGGGGTAACCGCTGGGTCTTTGATCTTCCTTGGTTTCCGCTCCCCGCTGCAGTTCGCTAGACCCAAGGGCTTGTTTGTTTTGTCTGGGGAGGTCTCTGCGGAGTGGAGGGCGACATCAAGGAGTCCCACCCCACCTTTGTGGTTCTGAGAGAATGCCTGCTGGGGCCCTGCGTTCGGCTCGTCCTAGCACCGACTGAGCAGCTCAGGCGTGGGAAAACCCGCGAACTCGGAATGTCCAGCCCTTTGGAGGACATTCCCTGTGTAAGCCTCAGTTTTGCGATCTGTAAAATGGAGGCTCAACAGCACTGTCCAATAGAAATATAATGTGGGTCATGTTTTTATTTTCTAGTAGCCATATTTTAAAAGGAAAAAGACATAAGTGAAATTAATATTAATAATACTTTCTAAAAAAATAATAATAATACATTCTATTTAACAATACAGTCAGCCTTCCATTATACATGCCTGTCTCATTGGCAGCTTCCACTGCCCACCGACTGAAGATCCAAAAACAATAATAAATCATAACAATACAGTGTAAAAAATATAAATTTTTTTCATTTTTTTTTCTTTTTTAGGTGGAGTCTCACTCTGTTGCCCAGGCTGGAGTGCAGTGGCACGATCATGGCTCAGGCTGCCTCGACCTCCCAAGCTCAGGTGATCCTCCCAGCCTCCCAAGTAGCTTAGACAACAGGTGTGCACTACCACGTCTGGTTTTTTTTTTTTTTTTTTTGTAGATAGGAGATCCAGCTATGTTGTCCTGGCTGGTCTCAAACTCCTGGGCTCAAACAATCCCGCCGTCTCCGCCCAAAGTGCTGGGATTACAGGTGTGAGCTACTGCGCCCAGCCCACAAATGTTTAAATCACAGTGTAGCAAATATTTAGATAGCATTTGTATTGTATTGGGTATTATAAATAATCTAGAGATGATTTAAAATGCACAGGAGGATGGGTGTGTGTTATATGCAAATATGACAGGACATTTTATAGAAGGAACTTGGTATCTGGGAATTTTGGTATCAGGAACCTAGAACCAATCCCCACAGATACTGAGGAAACACTGTATCTCCAAACATTATAATTTTCCCATCTCTAAAATATTTTACATGCTTTGTTTTGTACTAAGTCTTTAAAATTTAGTGTGTATTTCACACTCAAAACACACCTCAACCCAGACTAGCCATACTGCGAGCGATCGTCAGCCTGTGGCTGGAGGCTTGTCACTGGACAGCACAGCTCAGGTGCATCTGGTGTCCCAAAAGGACACTGGAAATTCATGGCCCGCAGAGTCACAAATATCTTCATCTGACGGTCCGTTGCTTTCATCCTCCAAGCTTCCTTTTCTCCACGCCCATTTTGGTGGAAGTGAATGCTAATCTTATAAGCAGGTACATGAATGCTGTTGGCAGGGAGGTTTCATTTAAGGAATGCTGGAATCACACACACACAAATTACGGTTGTAATTTTTATGTTGCAATTCTTTATTTAGTGCCTACTATGTGCTGGTCCTTGTCCTGTGTCATGGATAGCCCTCACAACCACTCTCTGATGCATACGCTTGCTTGTTCTAGAAAGGAGGCAAACAACTAGACTCATCGAGGTGAAGTCACCTGCCCAAAGTCACACAGCTGGTCAGTGACCCAATCAGCAACTGAACCGGAATCCATTGGTTCTGTGGCCCATGCTTGTTTCACTCCATAAAGTTGCCCCAACACAGTCCAAAACTAACATCCCACCATTAGAGAGAGTCCCCCCCATGTGGAACAAATATCAAGTGCCAGCAATGTGACAAGCATTGTTTTTGACGCTTAAGATACATCAGTGAACAAAATAGACAACTGCCCATCACATATTCCCGCTCTCCCGGAGGGAAGACAGGCAAGAGGCAATGAACGTAATGAATGGGTAAATAGTGTGGAGCTTAGAAGGCTGCACCCGCTACGGCAGGCAATGCTTTTCCCTTTCCATCCCATCAGGAGCTGTGTTGCCCCCCAGGGGACATTTGACAATGTCTGGAGGCCTCTAGGTGGTGGCCAGGGTTGCTCCTGCAATGCACAGGACAGCCCCCCACACCAAAGAATCAACCGGCCCCAAATGTGGCAGAGTGAGCACCCTTGAGCTGTGGGAAATGGAGTGGAGCCTGTAGCGAATCAGGAGCAGGAGAGAGGCCAAGGCTTGAGTCTCTGAGTCGGAGTGGGAACCTTCCTTCAGACCCCTCCAAAGGCAATGGAATTCGCTTGGGCTTGCAGTGTGTCTCTTTCGCCCCCACCCCCGCTGGTGCCAGGGTGCCTCAAAATCAAAGAAAAACTCTGAGTGTTCTTTCTCACAGTGCTCAGAAAGTTGGTTACTTTCTTAAACCGGTCATGGCTTTCTTCTTTCCTGAGAAAAAAGTATCCCCTCTTCCCCTTGGGAATTTCTTTTTACAGTTCAAAAAGAGATAAAAGCAAGAACTAAAACTGCAGTTAGCAGTCTGAATCTTGGGGGGGAGCAAATCCCAAATGTCCAGCGCAGACACAAAGGCCCCTCCGGCTGCCCAGCCCGGCAGGGGCCCGGGACTCTGTTGCTTGGAATCAAGACCCGCCCCGCCCCCCCAACTGGGCCTTGGGCTAGAACCAACATGTGGGCCTTGTGGAGAAATGTTAGCCTATCAGAGTTGGGGAGGGACTCCCCGGGGGCCACCAGCGCACTGTCCACCTGGGGCAGCCATTTGGCCTCCGAGGGCCTCCCACCCCACGACTCACTGCCTTTGTATGTGTTTTAATAATTTATCTGGCCCATTTCTTGGGCTGTGTACTTACAGTGACACATCTTTTTCTTTGAAGATTTCCCATCCTTTGGGGGAGGAGAATGGGAAAGGAAGGCAAGGAAGAGATAAGAGGGAGAGATTATAACAGAAACGGGTTTCATGGGGCTTGAGATTTAGCAAGGCTGGTTTAGGTGAAATCTGTCAGACAGAGCTGGGAGATTTTTTAAAAAATCACCCTAGTTGACTGCCCCCACACTCGTCCCCAATTTAAGCCATGTGATCTGGCCCCCTTCAAACACCACTTCCTAGAGGAAGCCCTCCTTGACCTTCTAACCGGAAGAGCTCTTCTCTGCTCTAAATAGCCAAAATGTCCCTTCTCCCTCCCCACCTTCTCTTCTTGCTTGATGAGGACAAGTTTCCCTCCTGGAGACTTGGGACTCATCTGACCTGCACCTCTGGGTGCAGCTCCCAACCCAGCACCTCCATCATCAGTGCTGCCACACCTGCTTGGGAAGGAAGGGAAACCACTCTGCCCCTTCTCAGCCCTGGGGGTGCTGTGGCCAGCAAGGAGGTGGGGCACTGCCAGGAGGATGACCTGGGATATGCTGAGAATGAAGGCGGGTTCCCAGTCTCTGCTGGGTCCTTGGGGGTACCCGGAGTTGCTTTCTCTCATCGTTTTGGGTGGGCTTTGCCACTGCTTAGGGGCCTGGAAGCCTGGTTTGGGGATGGAGGGGCGTGTTAGACTGCACTGCAGGAGAAAGTGTCAGGAATTCTGGAGGGAAGGGAAGAATCTCCAGGGAGACAGCTTGAGAAGTGAAGGCCACCTCCAGGGTGGGAGGAGGAATGTGAGCGCCACCATGCATGGGCAGCTGCCACCTGGCCAGCTCTGTGCTGTAATCTCCTCCCTCTGAGAGATCCTGATACAACCCTGGGTTAGTGGCCCAGGACAGAAAGAAGGGCTGGAAAAGACAGCCCCACACAGGCGGAGCACCTGGCCAGGGCAGTCTTCAGGGTGGAGCAGTGCAGGAGACAGGGTGGGAATTAGGGAGGCCAGCAGGAGGCACCTGGCCTTGACAATGAGGCAGGGGGAGCCTGGCCTCCCCCAGAACATGGGACAGGCCCCCGAGCCACTATTTGGGCACTAACAGAAGGTGATCCCAGAAGAGTGCTGCCTGAGCCCCTACAGATGCTGGTTGAACGGAATTTTTGTGCAGACAGTTCCTCCTGGGTCTGGAGTGCTTTGGCGAGTTCAGAGAACAGGCTTCCCTGTGAGGCTGGAAGAGGGAGAAAGCCAGTCCAGCCTCTCATCTCCCCCTCAGGGAACCCTGCTCTCCTCCCAGCCCCGCTGCCTCTCTGCTCTTCTGTGGACTTGACTGAGAAGCCCTCCAGTCACAGTACCAGTCTTTGACTATTTTCAAACTCCATTTACAAAAGACAGAAAGAAGCTGCTGTCTTTTTAAACCTTTGTGTTTCAGTTATGTGCAGCCTAGGCCTGACCACCATACAGTCTCCCTAGAAGGAGGGGTTGGGCAGAGCGACATTTCCCACAATTGGATCCCTGGACACTGGTTTTGTGAGATGCTATTATTATATGAAAGAAAGACTCCCATGAGAAACTGGGCAGCCCTTGCTTAGCCAAAGGGAGGCATTCTTTTTCTGCAGGACTTCTCAGAGCCTTCGTTGAGTGGCCAAGCTTTTTGATTCTCTAAGAGAAGGGAATTGTAAGCAGAATTTCTTAGACTCACCAACCAGGAACACTTCTTGGAAAGTTCTAGTGAAGACAAGTGTTCATAGAACATGCTTTGGGATATGCTGGAGGAGATAACTTCTAAGGTTTCTTCTGATCTGAGAGTCTAAGAACCAACCCCAGAGGCCTGGACCAGGAGCTCAGTGAGGACAGAGCCAGTGTGGAAAGGCTCCTCAAAGGCAAACGAACACATATGTCTATGGTGAACATGTTTTAGGACATATTTATCCACTTTCAGGGGGCCTATGTCAGAGGCTCCTTGGTGGTGCAGGGACTTCTTCAGGCCACAGCTCGAGGAGTAAGGAAAGGGCGGTCACTGCAGCAAAGCTTATGGGTAATGTCCCTTTTCTTATGGCTTAGTGTCCTTCTCATACTCTTTCCCTTGCGCGAAGCACAGCTACAGGGTGGCCCCTGCCGCCATGTTGGTAAAGCTAAGGTCCTTGCTGAGGCCTATAAGGGTCTGTCCCTCCTTGGCCGCAGCTGATCAGAGACGCCTGGCCCATAAGCCCTATCAATCAGGTTCTCGTCACAGAGTGTGAAGAGGCCCAGGGCCTGGAGTACACTTCACTTTAGAGACTCCAGATCTCTAAAGCTGAAGGCTCCATAGTCTGGAGGCTCGACAGCTGCTCAGGCTCCCCACAGGCTGATGGACAAGCAAAAAGAAGCAAGAGGAGCGGCCGTAAGAGGGAAGTGGAGACAGGTGACCACACGGAGAGAGATGCCCGAGCAGATTGGTCCCTGACACTGCCTGCACATTCTGCCCTAGAGTTCCTGAAGGACCTAGTCCCCGTCTTGGGCTGGGGTCAGGTTCCCTAGAGAAGCCTCCTCAGAACTTAATGTGCACGTGAGTCTGCGGGGCTCTTGTTAGCATGCGGTGTGAGTACAGCCTGGGAATCTTCATTTCTTCCCAGCTCCCCATGGAGGCTGGTGTTACTGGTGCGCAGACCACACATGCTCTGAGGCTTCAGAAAGCTGAGCCTTCTTGGTGGCTACTCAAGTGTAGCCTGTTGCCTCCACAGAGTAAGTAGCGGCACCGGGGAGGGGAGGGAACAGCAGAAGGCAGGGAGGAGGTGACCACGACATAAAGACGCTTCTCTTTTATTCATCATGTCATGCGACAAAGAGTGTTGGAACCTGATTTATGCCAGATTCTTGGGTTCTCAGAACAGACAAAACTCCCGTCCTCATGAGGCTCACATTCTAGTGGGGAAGACAGACAATAAATAAATCAGTTAGTGAAATACAGGATGTGCCTTTGGGGAGAATCGAGTGGGACAAAGGAAGAAGAAATATCGGGGCAGGAGGTTACAGTTTTGGATAGACAGAGGGGGCAGCCTCCGATAAGGACTTGAAAATGAGGAAGAAACCAGGGGAGGTTGAGGAAAGCGGGACCGGGCAGAGGAATAGCAAGTGTCAAGGCCCTGAGGTGGAGACATGCTGCAGATATTTGGGGAACAGCAAAGAGGCCACTGACTGTAGAGCAGAGAGAGCCAGGTTTTAGAAGTAGGGGGTGATGAGGTTGGAGGTGACAGGGCCAGAATGTGAGGCCCCTGCAGGCCTCAGCAAGAACCTCGGCTCTACTCAAGGGAGATGGGAGCCATTTGAGAACCTAGAGTGACTGGGCTGCTGTGTTGAGAAATGCGGGTGGGGGTGTGACGGGGAGACGACAGTGGAGGCAACAAAGAAATTGGATGCTGAGAGTGCTGGGAGGTGAGAGGTGACAGCATTAGCTCACGTACTGGACTTGGGGTGGAAGAGTGAGAGACTAGCTAGGGGAGACCCCAAGGTCTGGGCCTGCATGCCTGCAAGGAGGGCTGAGGAAGCCACTGGGAG